ATAACAGACGATATAAGTACAAAAGGTGGTCTCAGTGGATAGATCTCTTAGCAAACTATTAACCTGATATTCAGTTATATCCAACAACTGTTCTCTCATGCGTTTCATATTAAGTTTGATGTTCTAAACACCTTGCTCTTCTCCCTCTTGAGATATTAATTGCAATGATCATTTCGCTATACCAAGTCACGTGAGCTTCTTCAAGCGTACACAAAAGGAATTCCGATTTCCTCGTTTTCATTCTCACAAAATAATAAATCGCCTTTTGTGCAACTGACCGAGATATGAGAGAAGTGATGATTCTTAATGCAGGTCAAGAGAAAGAACTTGCGTTCAACCTTTTTTCTAAATCACGGACCACAAAACATCAAACATCATAGATATTACAGGCTGTAGGATGCAGGAAAATGTGTTACCGCAAAAAAGTTGCCCACTCATTAATCTAAAACATTATGATAAGAATTGATCCGGTAAAGCAACAAATATGTCAAAAGTTTCATCGTACAAATAAATTTCTTCTAAGTAAGAAATTCACTCAGAAAAAATACAGAATGCTGAATACGCACAACTTTGATTCCCATAAAAATAAAGCGTTTCGACGTACTACGTAAACGCATTGCTTTATTGTATCCGGAGAAACTATTCCACCAACAAAAATGATTATTTTCATTGGGGGTATAAAATATCGACCTACCCCCAAACCTCGAAGGACAACACAGTTATGGAATAAAGAAGCCAAACATGATTTCATCAACGCACGAGGATAAATGTTACTGGTCCTGAAATGAGTCTACCTGCAAATAAGAGTTGGGGTGCTTCGAAAACTGTCACTTGTCGAAGCGAGCGCACAGCTGGGATGAAATCCAACGGAATATTTACTAGCGCTTTCAAATGAAATTGGATGCATATTCCAAGAGGTTTCAGGCTAAGAAATCGAGGACACAACAAAGGAAATAGCTTACCAAGACTGGTACTGACATTTGCATGAATATGTTTAAAAGATCAGTACCAACTTGCTAAATGTATTCAGATTTAAAGGGGATAGGATTGAAAGTTAAAAACTAAAATGTGTATAACAAGTTTTTCATTGCAAATGATAAAACTAAGAATTTTATTTGATCAGGTCTGAATCTACTATACCTGGAAACCGATACACCTGTTGCCCACAGATCTTACCGTGTGACCAGAAGCGGATCGTCGATGTCGCATCTGCCTGGCAGTTAATAATTCGACCGTCGGGACCGTTTGGGATGGAGGTTCGACGTTTGGATTACCTGGAGGTTTATTGTTCACATCCGCACCAGCACTAGTCTTGATATGCTTTGCCATTTGAGAATTGAGGTCACCCAACTTGAGCGCATTATCAACCGAATCAGGTTTAATCGAGTCCGTAGTTTGGGTTGGTGATGAAGTCAGTTGACGTAGGACCGAGCGTAGAAGACCAAGCGGACTGCTAGCATTTACTAGTGGGACTCCATTCACTTCAAGGAGTTCATCACCCACTCGTAAACGACCATCCTATGGAGAAAAAAAAGAATGTGAAGGGCAAAATTATTTTAAGTATTCTACGTTTAACCAAGTCTGAATGATAATGATAATGTACTTCGCGGCAACAAGTAAAATTCAAGCATAGCATGAGTTGATGATTTTTCCAACTATCCTGGAAGGATTTTGAAAAAAATCCTCAATACTATCACACATAACAGGCACCAAACCAATAACATTCGATCTGGTAAGCGAATGGATATTAATTATAAAATACTTAGTTGTTGTGGTAGTGGTTGGCGGTATCTTCTTTCATCAAATGCCTGCATATGAACCGTTCAGCGGTACGATTGTGCCATGATTCATAACTGAAGAAGGGTGCTGCATGCCAGAAGCCTAGAACTGAAATTTTCGAAAATCTGTGGATAATAATATATTGAAGTGTAGCTATGAATTATAAGCAACCTTGACTAGAGAGCGGAATAACATCGAAAAAGATAAAAGGTAAACTATCTCCTACAAAGTGTGTCAATATATATATATATATATATAACGAGAGAGAGAGAGAGAGAGTGGCCACGTCAATAAGAGATTTGATATGAGAATGATGAGAGATTTAAAATAGTAGTTCTTCGAAAATGAGCGCAATATAGTAGAGAATCTTGTGCGATGAATGTTAGATCATACAACAAATGCCAAGACATTTTTGGAATGGAAATACCGCTGCTATGTAGCACGGCAAATTAGGAAGGAATAGGGTAATCGAACGTATCCATAAAATCAGAGATGAATGTCATAAAAGTAATTTTTAAGTTCGTAAACTAATTACACCGAATTGTGCATGTGAGTATGCGTCAGCGTATCTGCAAGAGAAGATGAAAATCCTATTATGGAGAAACAAGGATGATACGACGAGGCGAAGTAAAACCTGAGGAAATCACGGAAGGTATGAAGAACCAAGGACTGAGAATGAGGCCTCCTAACTATTCACAGTCGGGCAATAACTAATTATATTTATAAACTTCGTCATTATTTTCGATGTATCAGGGGAATGAAGGCAATATATGCTTTCCATAAACGTTTTACTAAATATTCAGATAACTGATTAAATACCACGCAATAACGCAATTGTAGTAGTACCTTATGTGCTGCTCCACCTTCAATTATGCCCTTGACTAACACACCGCCATAAACAGAATCCGCTCCCAGATCCCGAGCCCAATTTTCGTCGACTAGATGTAGCGGCAAACGAGAAGTGGTATCCGGTCCGGGGACGGAGTTAACAAGCAAACGTTCGGCCAATTTTGACGCTCGTGACGAACACGTCTCACGTACACTGACGCCCAGTCGCATGTGACGCGAGGTCGTGGTTGTGGCTGTCTTTGTTCCATCAGTTGAAGGACCGGTTTCTACAGTTGCATCGCCTGATGTTATCAAACCTGTTCCGGTTGTAGTGGGTATCGTACTCGTGGAGGATTTGCATACCAGCGGAATATCCAATCGAAAGATGAGAACATCGGGATAGGGCTTTGATAAAGATAATAGGAGAGCAGATGTACAAAGCGTGATAGTAAGTACCATTAACAGGAAAAGCAGGGCTAGTGTGGTTGTTAATTGTACCCTCTAAATGTAAATCCCACAAACTAATATATAAGCTACCTTTATAGTAAGGTTGACTGATAAGGATTTTTTAGAAAAATTACATTTTTACTGTTTTTATATATTTTCTGAAAAGTAAGTGTTCCATTTCCCAGTCCATAATAATGAAGTAAACGTGTTCCACTTATCCAAACTAAGTGTTTTGCTTTATTTTCAACAACTGCAATGTTCTACCGATGACCGGTGAAGTAAACCGCATAAAATGTACTGGAAAAATTTGTCAGGACCTGGTGTCTTTTATTCTCACCTTCACCTACATGCTTACAGAGAAGGAGAGTCAGAAACAGGAGCGGGGTGGGGAACCCCATTTTCACGTTCGTTGCACTATTTATTTCGATGTGTGAGGTTCACTTATTCCGAGGCATTGGACCTTCTCCCCCCCCCCCTCGTTCTGAATGTACGCATTCAGTAAACCGACTGGTTCGCAGTTATTAGTTTCAAATCAGGATCTTGAACCGATTGACGTATTCACTGTTAACGCCCTGAAGTCTGATCATTTACAAGATGCGGATTACCTTATTCACACCACGCGCTCGGTCAACCTAAGACTTCGCGGTTTTAGATGTCATGTCATACCAATACGACAAGATAAAACATGATGCAATTGTCGAGTTGCACCGTGCACATGTTCGAGGGCTCCCCTTGCGGTTGGAGTTTGAAGAGTGTTTCCACTATAACGTAAGCTCCGGTAATTCTGAGATTAGTAAATCGCATCTGGATTGGGAATGTGGAATCAAACGAAGTCACATTGAAACTAAATTCGTTGTTCTTTAACCTTCTGTAGCCGAGAGAAACAGCCTCAATGGAATTCACTCATTGGGTTATTAAGGGCTTAGACTGACTCCAATCGTAGAATGAATCATGCTCACATTCGCGTCTGGGTATGTTGACCGACTTATCGATCCATCTTGACGTGAGTCGCTTCCTTATCCGACCGACAGAGGTTAATTAACTCAGGGTTCGTTCATTCGTACCCATGACGCACACTCGATCAAAATAACGTTCCCGGGTGGAACGGGTGTGTGGGGGACAAGGACAGAACGATCCAGCTCCCCCCAGCCCCCGAAACATTCATCCTCGCTTGGCAACTCACTCAAAAAGTACTTTTGTTTATTTACGGAGAAGTTAGTTCATTCGGCCTGGATGGGATTGAGACAGACCTGGTCCAGTCGGTGATATTTGGCGGCCTAAACAACAATAATCTTGCGGGGTTTTCAATGGAGTGCGATTGGTTGGACTCATTTGAAGTTACGGCGGATCCACGTGAATTTACAACGGATTCACTTGAAGTTAAAAAGATATAGATGACAATGTATCGGAAATCGGTCAGAGAAAAAGCGTAAAACCAATTGGTAAGAAGAATGTCCAGAAGGGAATGTTATCTATCAGTACACGGTTGTTTGACCTGTGCATCAGGTAAATCTTCTGTTAGTTTGAGCCGGTCGGTCTCATGGTAATCCATAAAACAAAGAATACTGGATGCAGGACAACAAAGAGCACTGGACAACTGTTTCGTCTAACCGAAACTATGTTGGTTAACTACCATCGGGAGACGCTTTTGCAATGCTTACACATATATAACCGTGAAGAAGATGTCAACAAGGGTC